CCGTGATCTCAGGATGATCTTAGGGGGGAGGGAGTCATTCTGAGAAAGCCGCCACATGCCGTCCCCCATCCCTGTGGCCCCCAGAGCAGCATGTGCTGGAGGAGCTGGAGCGCCAGGCGGTGCTCGTGTACACCCCGTCGCGCAAGGTGAATGGCAAGCGCGTGGTCTGCTACGACGACCGCTACATCGTGAAGGTGGCCTACGAGCGGGACGGCGTCATCGTCTCCAATGACAACTACCGTGACCTGCAGAGCGAGAACCCCGAGTGGAAGTGGTTCATTGAGCAGAGGCTGCTCATGTTCTCCTTTGTCAACGACAGGTATGTGGTGGCGGAGGGGGGCCTGGCACGGGTGGGTTGGGGTGACGGGAAGAAAACCACTCCCACTAGCCTAGGCCCCGCGGAGTTTGAGGTCCCAGGACACCAGGCCTGGAGACAGCCGATCCGAGGCACCCTCTCTGCGCCCACAGCGGCATGGTCTCTCTGTGCTTCGGGGACTCCTCTCTCGTGTGACCCGCTTTCTCCAACAGGGCTGCTTTGGCCCTGCTGTCCATGACCTTGTCCATGACCTTTCTGTTCCCGTGTCCAACACTAGCAGACCCGGCAGAGAGCCATCCAGCAGGTGGGCCAAGCATGGGCTTGGGGCACCATACAGTTGTGTTTTTCTCTTTAAAGAATGTAACACTTTTAATGAGAGCCCTAAAACAGTCATGGGGGAGGGGGCGGGGAGATCTGGACTTTGTTCTACTTCCTTTCACTGTTTTCACCTTTTCGTTGTTGTTCTTTTGAATCACATGGGGGAGTGGGCAGCATCTTTCACCATCTTGGAACTGACTCGGTCTCAATGCCTCTTGGTAGAAATTTTCAAGAAATCTGCTTGGTTCGTCTATCCCTTAGGTTGGTTCCTCTGGGTCAGGTCCATCTTAGACTAACCAGCTACACGAGGGTCACAAGGCGCAGACCCATGAGCAGGTGCTGGTTAGCGAGGGCCCCCAGACTGAGCTTAGCTGGGGAGGAAGCGATGGCTGGCCCTCAGCCAATGTGCTCAGGCATGCCGAGGGCACGGCGAGGCGCCTGGCACGGTGGGTGTGGGTGTGAGGCTAGCATAGGGCAAGGCAGTGTGGGGAGGGCACCGCCGGCCGGGACTTCACTCCCCCTTCAGTTTCTGTTCCAGGCAATGAGAGATCAGGCCTCATTCTGGGCTCTCCAGCTGGCTTTTAGGAGTTGAGACAAGCCCCTAGCTCTGTGAAGGCAGGCGCTGCATCTTATGTAGCTCGCTGTAGAGGAGTGAGGGAGTGGCTGCAGTCTGGGAAGGGAGAATGGGGAGAGAGGAGGCAACATGTAGCTGGCCGGGCCACTTGCACATGGCAGAGCAGTGCCTGACCCTGAAGCCGGGGAGGTAGTATGGTGTGGTGGGAAGGTCTGACTTTGGGAGGCAGGAGATATATATTTTAAATATATTTTTATTGATTTCAGAGAGGAAGGGGAAGGGAGAGAGAGACAGACACATCAATGATGGGAGAGAATCATTGATTGGCTGCCTCCTGCACGTCCCCAGTGCCGGGATTGAGCCTGCAACCCAGACATGTGCCCTTGACCGGAATTGGCCTGTGGACTGAAGGGTCCCAGGAGGCGAGGTTTTAAACTGAAACTGTGCGATTTACAGAGCGTGTGTCCTGGGGAAATCACTCAGTTTCATTCAGCTGAACGTTCTTTACCTCGAATTAATGTACTTGGATTAATCAGATTTATATCTGAGATGGTTGTGAGGACGGAAGAGAGTTGTACCGTCATTCTCAGGACAGGCCAGGACACAGTGCCGCCAGGGGACGCTGTTGCCCCCACTACAACCTGGCACAGAGGTGGAGGACCCTCCTGAGCCCCAGGGCAGATGCTGGCAGCAGCTCCCTGCAGTAGCCCCCCTGGTCACTTCCACATACGCAAGGCCAGCGGCTCCTCTCTCCGGCCCAGGCCTGGAGGAATCTGGCAAGTCTGGGCACTGTGGGTTCCAGAAAATCCTCCCTGAGGTCTGACGGATCATGGCTGCCTCTGGCCTGGTGACAGCCTGGGGCCCAGGCCAAGTTTTTTTTGACACACGGGCCTCTGCTAAGGGCCTGCCAGAAGGCTGCCTGGCTGCCAGAGGCAGGGCCTGCCCGCTGCCTGTGGGCGAGGATGCCCACCCCAGTGCCCTGGGCACGTCCGTAGGGCCCTCTTGGCCCAGCTAGCAGCTGCGAGGCCGGGAGAGAGCAGGAGGTGAAGCCTTTGGGAACTTTTAATAACCGCAGTGGGCCGCTCCCTGGATTCTTGGTCAGGGCCCAGCTCTGAGAAGCCGGCTGTGTGGCTGGGATCTGAGCTGCGGACGCTGCCCAGGGATCGCCCAGCTCCAGGCCGGCCTGGTGGACGTGGTCTGCAGGATGGGACCTCAGCATGACCCTTGCCTCTTAGGGGACACAAACGTGTAAATACAGGCCCTCTGTTTAGAACCCACAGCCCCTCCAGCGGAGCCGTCTGTGACTTGGAAGTGTCTCCTGGGAACAGAAGTATTCATATAAAACACTGGATGGCGCTAAACCAGGGGAGCTTTCCTTCTCAGGAATGTTGTTTTCCCCTTTGAGCTGTTAGCACCCTGAGGTTGCATTCCCTTCCTTGTTAGACTTAATGCCAGGGGGAGGGAAGGGGCAGGTGCGGGGCAGGGTGGGGCAGAGAACATGGCCTGGGTCAGGCAGACCCGGGAGCTGAGACCAAACCCACCCAGAAGCCGGGCTTGGCAGCGAGGGTTGGATCTGCAGAGGCGGAGTGTGCAGGCCGCACCTGGGATCCGCAGCTTTGCTGACTCGCCTACGGGTGTTCCAAGCTCGCTGTTCACGTTAATGCCAGGCTGTGGGGGGAGCTGCAGCAATGGGATCTGAGCCTCAAGGACTCAGAGGACCAGGGCTGTTTGTAGCTCCATGGAGGTCTCTAACTTTCTCTGTTGAGGGCAGGGGAAGGCAGCTCAGAGCCCCTTTCAGAGTAGGGTTGGAGGGGGTCGCAAGAGCAATTATGCTTCAATTTGAGTGGGTAAAAATCACCCGGGGCCTTGTTAAAATGCAGGTTCCCAAGCAACTTGAGATTCGGATTGAGTGCGTCTGGTAGGAAGCCAGGGACCTGCATTTGGACAGGAGTTGCTAGGTGGTTCTGGTCCCGCTGGCATGAACCTCAGCAGGAGAGACTCTTGGAGGCGGCCCAGGGGCTGCTCTCCAGGGATCCGAGCTGTGCTCTGCACGCGCGCAGGGAGAGAACGGGCTGTGCTGCTTCCACACCCTGTGCCACCTGCGGGTGCGGGAAGAGTGCTGGCTGGTGAGCCTGGCCCAGGCCATGCCAGGGGCTGCCACCCTCCTGCTGGACGCTCGCCATGCAGGTGGTATTGTTGAGTCCCTGTTGATCTTGCAGTGGCTCCTCTGTGCTTGCTTTCCAGGTTCATGCCTCCTGACGACCCCCTGGGCCGCCGGGGACCCACCCTGAGCAACTTCCTGAGCAGGAAGCCAAAGCCCCCGGAGCCCTCCTGGCAGCACTGCCCATATGGTGGGTGACACCCCCCCCCCCCCCCCCCGGGCCCAGTGCCGGGCCTTGTGTCTCGATGGCAGTGTCCTGACGGGTTATTGTAGGAATGAACTGACACCTGGGCTGCCTGTTGCATGGGAGTGTTTTGGGGGGTGGATGCAGGGGTCACACCTAGGACAAAGCTGATCCCAGAAGCAGGGAGACTTTGTGTCCCCCAGGCTCCCCTTTATCGGTCCCTTCACCTGGCACCTGTCCCCTCCTTCCCGTCATCCCCCACCCCTGGGCCCTATGGCCATTAGTCAATGCTGTCATTAAGAGGTAGGGATTCTGGCTCAGTGGTTGAGCTTCAACCCACGCACCATGAGCTCACTGGTTCAATTCCCCATCAGGGCACATGCGGCTTGATCCCCAGTACAGCGTGTGCAGGAGGCAGACAATTGATGTTCCTCTCTCGTGGATGATTCTATATCTCTCCCTTCTCCTTCTCCCCTCCTCTCTCTAAAAATCAATTTAAAAAATTAAACAAGATTTTAAAAAAGTTAGGGGTTTTATCCGGAGCCCTCCAGGGCGCCAGCCTCCTAGGCAGAGTTCACTGACTTGCTTGGAAAGTTATCCCATGTCCTCAGGCCTTGGTTTGCACGCACATGGACGTTCAAAAAGCCTTAGGTGACAGGGAGAGTCATTTCATGTTAGAATGAAGGTGAAACACAGGCAGGTTGATGCATTCTGCTCCCTTTCACCCTCAAAGGTGCCCAGGTTGTGATGATAAATTATTTGATCACCTGTTAGGACAGTATGTAGAGAGAGGGCAATGGTTAACAAGGAATGTGGGCAAGAGGAGGAAACTGAGGCAGCCCTGGAGGTGCATCCTATGCCACAAGTACCCACTGTCCACCCACTCCCGAGACCCCCTATCCACAGGGTTCCTGAGAAAATGGAGACTGAGGTCCAGGGGTGGAGAGATTTGGTCCCACTCCCTGGCCAAAGGGAGCTCCCAGGCGGACACCCTCCTGGCTGACACCGGGGTTATTGTGCCCAGGGCCTCTACCCCAGGGAGGCGGGTGCTGCGCCCCGCGCATCCCTCCTGCGCCCCGGGCCACTCCACCCCACCTCGTCCTGCCCCATCCAGCTAACTCTGCATCCTGGGCGCTTTCCGTTAACAACATCCCAGGAGAAAGCCCAGGGGCAGGCACTGCCCGCCGCACCCGGCACACAGCCTCTCCGCCCGCCCGAGGTCTCACCCCGCGCCCTCTCTCCCCGCTGCCCCTTCCAGGCAAGAAATGCACCTACGGCATCAAGTGCAAGTTCTACCACCCGGAGAGGCCGCACCACACGCAGCTGGCGGTGGCCGACGAGCTAACAACATCCCAGGAGAAAGCCCAGGGGCAGGCACTGCCCGCCGCACCCGGCACACAGCCTCTCCGCCCGCCCGAGGTCTCACCCCGCGCCCTCTCTCCCCGCTGCCCCTTCCAGGCAAGAAATGCACCTACGGCATCAAGTGCAAGTTCTACCACCCGGAGAGGCCGCACCACACGCAGCTGGCGGTGGCCGACGAGCC